TCAAATTCATCATTCTTCATTTTTTCTATCTTATCTATCCACCCTGTTGGTGTTCAATTGCTCACGCATGGCAACCCACCAATCTTCAACTCATCTTCATCAATTGCTTTTCTGGCTTAAAGCAACAAACCTTTCATCTTCATATTCCCCTTTGCTCTTTATCGGGCTTAGAGCAAACCCCTTTATTCTTCACACCTCTTGCTCCATCTTGAGAACCAGCACTCACTCTTGACTTGTCCTCAAAACTTGTTTCTCGTGGGCTTCACCTCTATCACCTTTGCCCCATCTTAAAAACGAGCATCCTCTGGCTTGTCACAAGACTTGTTTTTCATGGGCTTCACGCCATCACCTTCTTCATACCTTCATGTTATCATCAACTTTGATTGAATCTCCATAGCACATCACTATCATCCTCTGCTCTGACAAACTTTGCATCAATCTTTTTCTTCTACTAATCTTCAGGACCAATTACAGGCTCTGACCCACCATCGGCTCTGATACCAGTTGTTGGGGATAATTAACTCCCTCCAACCTACTTAACGGTCGGCTGTTGTTGAGAGTTAAATCCCTCCTTCATCATACACAGCGGAAACATCATCACATCACATCAACACAAGCATATATGGAGATAACAATCATACACATCAACGCACAACACAATATTTTACATGGTTCACCCAACTCTAGGGTTACGTCCATGGGAGAGAGAGATTTCACTATTATGAATCAAGAAAGAGAATATACAACCACATGTCAAAACCCCACTCACTTACTCATCATCTCTTTTGAGGCTGCATGTATACACTCGGAAAATACATATACTCTCCCCTCCTCACAACACTCACCCTTAAACCCCTTACATCTTTTATCTCTTCTCTCTCTCTCTCTAAACCCCTCATACCCATCTCTATTTATAGAATCTTCAAAACTCAATCCTTGTTGGACAAGTATCAACTTACCTACAAGGAGTTACCATATCCATCTTCAACTCTAAAATAGCAGGTATAACTTCTTTCCCAAATCTTCAGCCTTTTTCCCTAAGTTTTCTAGATTCCAAAATCAATTAGGAAACTATTTCTTGCAGCTTCCAAAACAAAAAATAAAACTAATTTTCTGTACACAAATTTTGAGCCACAAACCCAACAATCTCCACCTTGGCTCAAAATTCAATCTTCACGTGCTTCTCCATAACTCCACCTTGAACAAGGATCTCTTCATAGCTCCATCTCAAGCTCTTCATAGCTCTACCTTAACTAAAAATTTCTCCACCTCAAATAAAACACTATGATGAACTTGAGAAACACTTTAACATAGACCCTGTTCATGTGATTCCAATAGATTTTTTTTGTTTTCAATCTTTTCTCTCTACTGATATCTTGAACCATAGCTCTGCTTATTTGAATTACCAGCCAATAAACTCCTTTTTATTTATACTAATTCAATCCTTTCTTTCTAGTTTCTACCAACACCTCTTAAACCCCAATCTTGTTCATTAGAACTTCCAGCCATAACTCTTATTTATTTCAACTACTCAAGGTTGTTCTCTTGTCATACATCAGCTATAAACCATATTACATCGGAAAGGATAGACAATGTAATATTCGTGACTTATATATATATATATGGGTAGTTGGGAAGAAAAGAGTTCCAAAAAATTTAAAATACTCCCAATGGCAATTGATGAATAATTAGAGTTGTAAAATAAAAAAAATAAAAAAATAAAAAATAAATAAAAAAATCAGACTTGGAAGTGGGAAACGTGGTTTATATATTTGATACGACATGCAAACACGGCTAGAACACAACACAGGATATGTGGGTTTGGGTTTGGCTTAATCGTATTCGTATCAACCCAAATTGACACAGTAATTAAACATGTTGTGTTCGTGTTTAATCCACCAACCCGTTTACAACCAGATTAACCCATTTAACTAAACGTGTCAGATAAATGTGTCGTGTTTAAAATGACCCATTTAGCTAAACATGTTGTGTTCGAGTTAGAAATGACCCGTTTAGCTAAACATGTCATTCTTGTGTCATGCTAGGTCTTGACCTATTTATTAAACGTATTACGCATGTCATGTTATATTAGCCATTTAATAATCGTATCGTGTTTATGCCAAGGTTTCTTCACAAGAATAATAATTGTGTTGTGTTTGTGTCAACCTATATAACAAGATACCCATGTTTTGACATGACACAAACGCGACATGCCAACACAAATTGCCACTTTTAACATTAATCATAGAATCAAGGTAGGATGGGGTAAATGGAGGAGTGCATCTAGTATATTGTGTGATAGGCGTATCCTCTTAAGATTGAAAGGGAAATTCTATTGAATAGGTTATTACACCAGCCACTTTATGGCACAGAATGTTGGACACCTGAGTGTGGTAGAAATACGGATGTTGTTGTGGATGTGCGGTAAGACTATAAACGATAGGATTAGAAATGATCACATTTGGGAGATGCTTGGAGTAACACAAATTGGAGATAAGATCAGTTAGGATGGTTTTAACATATGCAAAAAAAAAAAAAAAAAAAAAAAAAAAAAAAAAAAAAAAAGACTTTTTATGTGCACCAGTTAGGACGGGCGACATAATCCCCATTGAGGCTAATACTAGGAGAAGAGGAACACCAAATTTAACATGGATATAGATAGTAAGGAAGGATAGGATAGCATATGCTTTGACTGATATTGTGGCTTAAATAGAGCAAAATATAAACATTGGATTCATGTAGCCGACCCCAAGTAGTTGGGGAAAAGGCATGGTTATTGTTGTTATTGTAATACCAAAACTTGATTTGAGAAGAGAAATGTTGAGAAGAATAAAGCGCATCAAAGCTATAAGGCTACATTTGGTACGCGGGAATGGAGTGGAATGGGAATGGAATGCACTGGGAATGGAAGGAGAATCAAGAATGGGAAATGAATGGAATAATCATTATCATTTTACTGTTTGGTTGCATATATGAAATGGTGTAGGAATGGAATGGTCACCACCATTATAGTGTTTGGTTGGACCAATTTAAAACAAGGAATGGAGTGAATTTTATAGTAAATTCTCCAAAATATCCCTCCTAGTGACAAATGAAGTAAATAACAGAATAACATTCATCTATAATTTTTTTAAAAGAAAAATTAATATTTAGTTTTTGGCGATTTAGGGGAGCTTCCTAATATCAAAAGTCTTTCATTCAAATGGCCTTCATAAAAGGAATTTTGTTGGAAGGAATCAATCAGAAAAAAACCGTTTGACAAATGCATTTTTTAAAATATGGTGGCAGTGGTGGTGCCAATGGTGGAGGTGGCAATGGAAGGTGGCAGTGATTTTGGTTGTGGAAAGTGACAATGGTGGTGGGGAAGGTGGAGGTGGTGGCTTGAGAGACCCAAACTTGGAAGGTGGAAGGGTTTTTTTGGTAAACATGATTCTTGATTTTTATTTTACTTGGGAATGGAATGCCCATTCCATAGGTTAAGGAGTGGAATGAGTTTTCAAGCTTTTTGTAGGAATGACTTGGAATGGTCATTCCAACTTTAATTTTCCTTAAAAAACAAAAGAAAGGGAATAAAAAAGTGGAATGAGTATTACATTCCATTCCATTCTTACGTTCGAAACATGGCATAACAATCATGTATTCATGTGCTGACCCAAATAGTTTCTTTACATGTGGATGTTATCATGTTACCATGTAAAAGCGTCACTTGCTTATTTCTACATATTAGAGATTTTGAACTGAACAAGTCCCCAACTAACGAACTTTTGTGAGGCTAAACCATTCTTAATAAAGTACACTGACTAGACTGCTTAAGGACCAACTAATTAAACAATAAATGTAAGGAACTGCAGAAAAGGCTAGCGTTTTATTGTGTAGCATTATCCAGTCTATGTAAGGCGGTCACTACCCACCTTAAGGCTCAAGAAGGCAACAAGTTGTGTGACATGGCAATACCTCAAGTAATTTAGCTATGGTATTCAAAATTGTTGCAACTGCGATCATAAAGGCAAATGTTATAGTCAACAATCTAAAAGATCATTACTATAAAACTCAAGAATATTGTCCAACAAGTATTATTTAGGACCACCATTCATGCTTCTAGGGAAGATTTTTTTCTTTTTTTTGATAAGTAAAATACTTCTCTAGAAGATTTTTCATTAAAAAAAAGGAAAAAAAACATAAAGGAAGAAAAAGAATTACAACTTCAAAATTGGCAAAGAGAAAATATTCTAAAGTAATTTAGGAATATATATATATATATTCTAAAGTACTCGAGTCAATAAGCGGTGTCTCAATTATTATCGTTGGTTATATGAACGATGTTCCACCATTTTGCACTAGCTAAAACCAAAGCTTCAGTTAAACCAAAGAATTTAAATGTTGTAATGTTGCAAGGAAGCGAACCACATGCAGATTCATCCCCTAGAAAGTCAACATAGCATTTCCAAATGGATAATGGAAAATTGAAAATCAAAACTTTAAATAACCACCATACCCACTACAACATGCAAGAGGATCGTCAATTAACCACGTTCCTTTGTGTTAGCTTATGCATATTTAGTGAATAGGGTTCAACAAACACAAACCAGTTCACTTAATATTATTGTGTTCGACAAAAGTACGTTGTACCCCATAAAAGTATGCTAGATGGAACTTTATTATTGTGTCCATCTATCACAAGTATCAACTTATCCCATAATCAAGCACAGTTGCCACATTGCCATTGATCTACCATTCTTATTAAATAGCAAGAATTGGGAATGATCATTATCATAAAAATGTGCAAGATATATAATTTTGACATACAACAGGTTCAAACATCTAGAATCATTTTGAAACTTAAAAAGGAATCATGTATAGAAATAATGGTAAATTTGCCATTCCTATCAAAGAATACAAAACAAATACACCAAATTCTCATCAGCAGAAGCAGTGGTTACCTACAATTTCAAGCACATTAAATGATATAACAATTTATTAAGGTCAGATGGAAAAGCTACCTGCATTTTCAAACCTCTGAGCAACAATTTTCCAAGCTTCTTCCAAAGTAGTAAACTCATCTAATAAAACATTACAATGTCAATTCTTCAAAGAACACGAAACAAATACACCAAATTATCAGGAGCACAACCAGTGGTTACCTACAATCTCAAGAAAATTGAATAATATACCAATTTATTACGGTCAGATGGAAAAGCTACCTGCATTTTCAAGCAAACGGTACCTCTGAGCAATAATTTTCCAAGCTTCTTCCAAAGTAGTAAACCCATCTAAGAAAACATTACAATGTCAATTCTTTAAAGAACACAAAACAAGCACAACAAATTGTTAGGAGCACAAGTAGTGGTTACCTACAATCTCAAGCAAACAAAACGATATACCAATTTACTAGGATCAGACTGAAAAGCTACCTGCATCTTCGAGCAAATTGAAACCCAGGCCTTGATAAAACCTCCGAACAATACTTTTCAAATCTTCTTCATCATTAGCAAACTCATCTAAGAAAAACACTACAATTTTAATGCTCTAGTTCAACTATTCATTCAACAAAACAACTTTAAAGTCTACACAAGGAAACAAACCTTCATTAAAAAGGTTTGAATTCTGCAATGTATCCGCTTTGCCATCTGGACTTCTCTTCATGCTAAGGGAATCACCCTACATAAGCAACATTAGTCATGCTGTAATGTTTGTGATTTATATAAATATATATATACATATATGTGTATTTACATTAAAGGAAAAGATTATTGGAAGTGGTGGGACCCACCACTAGCTTATTTAGTGCCTATGAAACCACAATTTGGTCTCTCACTTCTCTCTTCCCCGCAGGTTCTCTTTTTCTCTCTCATTCTTGGTTCTTTTTTTTTCTTTTCTCCATCAAAGCTTCCATTTTCAATTAGTCTCTCATCCCTTGGAATTTTTGGTTATCGTTTGTGGCAAAACGGAGAGCACGGCAAGATATTCCTCGTTTGGCCAACCCTAGGAATTTCAAATTTTTGGACCCATTTGGGGGTTTTTGCATCTAAGTGAGGTAGGAGTGCTCTAATTCATGTTTTCTTTGATCTTTTGTGAATTTTCCCCCTTTAATTTGATTCTAAGCATGTTTGATTTTAGCAATTTTGCCGATGTTGTTATGATTGTATGTAATTAAACTGATGGATGTATATTATATGTTAATTGAACCTATGATTATGATTATATACTTAGTGGTGAAGATATATGCTTAGTATTGATATTTTAGATACCCCATGATTTTTAATTGTTAAGAAAAGTGATGTTGAAATTGTGAAAATAAATGTTAGGAATTCCCCTTAGTAATGTGATCGTGATGTAGATGGAATGTATGGGATTTATTGTAAATTTTTCTTGAAAAATTGCCATGATGCTAGATATATGATGTGTATCTCTATGTGTGTTATGAGTAAATAATATATGTGCGTATGATTTGTTGATTGGATATGGAAAGCATGCTTTTGTGATTATGTTCTCGTGTAATATGTGTAATTGCAGAAATTTTGTTGACTTAAAGCATGCTATAAATTCATGAGAAAATTCTTCTTTATTATGAAATGTTGTTAAGGTTTAATAATGTGAAAATTATGGAAAATTGTGAAGTATGAAGCATTCATGCATGCATTGGGAAAGAAAAAAATGGAAAAAGTAAATTTTTTTTTTTTTAAAACCAATGAAATTGTTTTGGGGAAACGTTTTCGAAAGTGTTTGTGAAAACTGGACGCCTAGGAGGCACCCAGTGGTCCGTGGTGTTAGTGATCTAAAGGGGGTTAGAGAGAAACTCTAGTGTGGTTGAGCTACCTAGACGACGCCATGAAGGTGCCATGTGGTCAGGAAAAACTAGCCAACCCCTCCCTCGTGATGCCTTGGAGGTGCCTTGGGTCAGATTACACTAATGATTTGGAAGTTGAAACGGAAATGTTTCGGAAATGGGGAGCGACACGAGCATGGCATTGCACTTCATTGGCATGCATGATGAATTTGTGACTTGGATGACATTTGTGTTTATATTGGATGTTGTGGTTATGGTTTACATCCCCGGTATAGTATGATCCCGTTCTCTTGTCTTCAATTCTATGCGTAGATTCACGAGGTCATAAGAGGTGTGTCTTAGACACTTCCTACTGAGCTTAAGCTTACCCCATTATTATCATTTTTCAGGATACGGAAGGGAAGTGGCGGACGACATTCTTCCATAGGTTTTGACGGGTTAATGGACTGTTTTGACATATTTTATGGCTATGATCCCATCATTATCATCATCATTATTATTATTATTATTATTATGTATTGACATAGGAAAGGACGGTAGCGTCCTTAGTTGACCTCGGGTTCGGATAAGGACTCGGTTAACAATTCAGACCCTCGGGTTCGGGTCGTTACAAATTTAGTATTAGAGCAATGGTTCAAAAACCAGTAGGACGACGGGTAAAGGCCTACTTAGGGTTGTGTAGAAAGTGGATTGCATTGTTTATGTGCTTATGTGTCAAAGTGTTCGTTATCTGAGAAGCATGCTTACTTGCTTATATGTTTACTGTTTTAAAACACATGCTTATTTGCTAAGTGTTCACATGCTTACGTGTTTAAACACTAAATTAAATTGGTATTACATGGCCATGTATGTAGAATAATTATATGATCCAACTATGTAAATGAAATGTGAAAGTATTTGAAAGCATGTTATACATGATAAGGTGAAAAGTATATGATACATGACGGTGGAAAGTAATAGGCACGGTTGGTGCAATTTTCTTTTATGATTAAGTGACAAGTAATGAACATGGTATTATGGGTTTCATTCATTTTATGTATGTGTATATATTTATTCTTATATGCTTATGCGGATGAGCATTGGGTTGGTAGCTAGTACGGTAGAGTACTTGTTATGGCATTGAAGGTTGTGTAAGTTTTGACCTGAGTAGGAAATGAGCTCAGTTGCTCCAAGGTTGTTGGGTACTTATTCTTATCGAACTACAGGTGTTGACTTCTAGCTTGTGGATTGAGCTATTTGGTGTGTATTCATTTTGATCTTGTTATTGCATTTTATGCGGTGCTTAGAGCACGACTTTAGAACGGGTTCATATTTCATGGCATGGTGCCCTTGTTGTGTGTGAGTTTCATGCATTGGTGTATGGGTTCTGGTGATCGTGGAGGTCTAGTGTGCGAGTGAGAGTTCCGGTATGACTTTAGGAGGTTAGTGTTTGTGACTTGGGTCACGGTTTGGTACGGAGGTTCTTTTCGAACCGGTCGTGGTAAGTGTGACAGAAGTTGTTTGAGTCACGAATGTAGTCTATGGGTTGTAGAGGTGTATTTCGGGTTTTCTGGTACGGTCTAGGGAAGTGTGTTGGTTCTGATTGTCGTAGGGATTTGTTGGATTCTGTAGGTGTAGGGTGATATAGGACCGGTTGCAAGATGTTGATCATTTCGTGGTCTTGTAAAGTTTGTTTTAGAGACTGGTTTGTCAAGGGGTGATCCCCATTTCGGAGAGTTACAGGAGTGTGCTACAGGTAATTGATTCTTAGTGAGTCGATTGCATAGCTCGGTCAATGAGCGGGTTTCTGGGTTGGCACGGCTATCTAGAGAGTCTCGAGGTGGTGTATAGTGGTTAGTTTTAGCTGTGTAATGTAGGATTTCATGATAAGGCAGGTATTATGTAGTCATCGGTATGTTTGGTTGTTGCGGATGAAGTGATGGATAGTAGGTACTGTGTTACCAAATGTACTATGTTTTAGAAGTTGAAAGTTGTAGATTGGAGTTGAATTTTACGTTGCGTATGGGGTATAAGGATATAATGCTTGTCGTTTAAGGATTCAAAGAGATAGACTGACGATTTGAATGATTGGGACGAGGTTGATCTTATAGGTTTAGTTGGTAGCTCCATTTGACATTTGTCGGGGCCAATAGTGTTTTGAGGAATAGTAAAGAGGGGAGGTAGTGATGTTGAACCTAGGGCATGAAGTTTTCTTGCTTAGGCATGTAGACTACCTTTGAAAGAGTGGATTAAGTGGTCGGTTGAGCGTTAGTAATTGATTGCATTATTGATGATTTTAAGGAGACAATTGGGTGTTGAGCATTATGAGATTTGTGCTTATTTTGTTTTGAGGATTTGTCGGCATGACATTGCGGTATGAAGGTTCTTTCCTAGTGGTAAATTGTGGCTGTTGTGGAAGGTATCGAGAGTAATGCTTATTCTTTTGTTATGATAGTGTCATAGGTTGAATTGCTTGATGGTGACTTGGTGATTTGGTAAGATGAGAGGTTTGAGTTGTCATTCGAGGATGGTGGTAGTAAAGGCGTTATGGCGTGATGTTTAGTATTAATGAGCAGAATGGTTTGGGATATGATCAGAGGGTGGATTGGAGAGTATGAGTTGTTGTTGTATGTTATCGGGTAGGTGATGGGGGTGCATCAGTCGAGGTGATGGTGAATAACTTAGTTTTTAGAGCCAGTGAGGACGATATTGCTAGATAGGCACCTTTTTCTTTTGTCTAGTCGGTGGGTTGTTGTGATTGAGGTCACTAGTCAGGTGTGCACGGTGATCGAGGCAGTATCGTTTGGGAAGGTAGTGAAGGAACAGGTGGTAAAGTGTCATTTTATGACATATGGGTTGTCATTTAGGAGTGACGGGTTCTTGGTGGAATGGGACGTGGTGTCCAACGTACAGTAATTATTCCCAGTGTTAGTATGTTGTGGGCATTGGTGCTCTTATGTTGTTGGTTTTGGTTAGCATGGGTGTTGCGGGGTATCGTATGTGAGGTTTTTGTGTTGATAGTGTATGACGATCCGTTAGTGGCGAGGTCACCTAGAATTGAGTTCGTAGTTTCGTACGGGTATCCATTTGGTTCTTCTCTTTGTGTGTAAAGAGTTTAGTTTATCTTAGGTGAGATTGAGTGTCCATGGTTGGACAATTGGAGTGTAGCATGTGACAAGGTGTCGGGTGCATTCAGGTGCGAGTCGTCAGTCTCTTGTGAAAGCGGGGTTTGTTACCCTTTCCATTTGTTCTAGTCCTGGCAAGGACATCGTTTGTCGTGAGCCTTGTTTTCCATTTAGGAGTTGTGCGCATCCGTGGGTGGACGGACCTGTGTGTGATTTGTTATGTTATTGAGTTCATCGATAAAGGTTTGGTTGACTTGGTCGACTCACTCCCATGGAGGGAGATAAAGTCATCGATTTTTAGTAGTACTTGTTTTAAGAGTGATTTTGACGGCACGAGTTGCCGAATAGGGATTGTGTTTCCGATGTCTGGTACTTTCGGTGATGGCTAGGGGTGTGTCGTGAATTGTAAGCTTGAGGATGGTTAGGTGATATGATGTGAGTCATGTACTCGGATGTTTTTATAGGCATTTGATTTGAACAATGTCTTGAGGACAAGTGTCGATGTCGCCTTAGAACTACGTGATTAAAGAAAGTGAATGTGGGATTCCGTTGAGGAATAATGGGAATGATTGATTTTGGTTTTGAGGTTTCAAGCATGAGACTGTCGTACTGTGTGTTTTGAAGAAGTAAGAATTGAACCGAATGATGTTATGGAGTTGTGTATCTGGTATGGGTGCTATGAGATTATTAGGGAGTTTTTATGCTGGTCGATGATTCTGACGTTTGGTGCTGTGTTATTACTAGCTTGTTAGGGTTGTATGATTAAAGCATGATTGAGATTTTTAAAGTAAGTATGTGACTGTTAGCCGTTGTGGTTACGTAGAACGATGGATTGATAGCGATTGAATCTCATGGTTGTCTTGTGAACTGTGTGAGAGTGTGTTTGAGGTTTGGACCTGAGGACAGAAACGACACTTGTGTTAAGACCGGATCGATAATGAGAATGGCCTGGCCAACCATTTCTCCTGAATCAGTCCCTCTTAGCACGATGTTGGGTCAAAGGTCAATGATTGTTTCAATTTGTCAAGGATAATGAGAGCACGGTATTACGCGTTGTGTCGGTGTGACGGTGTGGATTCGGATGGTTTGTTTTGGGTGACAGAGTGTGTTAGGTAGTACCAAGTGTCTGGCAAAGGGTCTGTGTTATGATAATTGATTATTGAAGATCTTGTTTTGAGGATTTGGGTTTTAGGTACATGATAGTACGTTTTATTGCTCTTGTGACTTATGATTATGCAGTTGTTGGGAGATTTGTTGTGTAGTCATCTTGAGGATAATAAGTTTAGTGATTGCTGCTTGGTGTGGTTGGTAGTCGTTGTACGGGTATATAATAGTGTAGTTAAGTGTTAGGTAGTGAGTGTTCGGTCTGACAGAGATGTGTAGATTAGAGTTGAGCTTGATTGTGAGATGGACGGGGTTTTTTTTTGGAGTTTTGTGTGTCCTTTTAGGGAGGAGTTGAGATTGGATATTGTCATGTTCGGTGGACTAGAGACTGTTCTTCTTTCGGCTTCGGAGTCTTGCGTAGCAGTGTAGAGTGGACTAATGTCCGTTGAGAGTCGGATGTAGGGCCTAGTTGGTCTCATGTTCTGATGTCGCGAGTAATGAGTACCCTCATAGGGTGGTGAACATTGTATTTTTGTGGCAGTGGTGTGTGATTGCCTGGTGACGTTTGGTGTTAAAGGCAATAATGTTGGTGAGTTCATGGTTTTGGGGTTTTGTGAAGTGTTCTTAGGAAGGTGTGTGGTTGTGGGCCTCCTTCTTTAAGGATGGTAGATTTTGAGAACAAAATCTTTTAAGGAGGGTAGATTGTAATGTTTGTGATTTATATAAATATATATATATATATATATATATATATATATATATACATATATGTGTATTTACATTAAAGGAAAAGATTATTGGAAGTGGTGGGACCCACCACTAGCTTATTTGGTGCCCATGAGACCACAATTTGGTCTCTCATTTCTCTCTTTCTCGCAGGTTCTCTCTCTCTTTCATACTTGGTTCTTTTTTTCTTTTCTCCATCAAAGCTTCCATTTTCAATTAGTCTCTCATCGCTTGGAATTTTTGGTTACCGTTTGCGGCAAAACGGAGAGCACGGCAAGATCTGTATGTTGATACAAACAATTCCTCATTTGGCTAACCCTAGGAATTTCGAATTTTTAGATCCATTTGGGGGTTTTTGCATCTAAGTGAGGTAGGGGTGCTCTAATTCATGTTTTCTTTGATCTTTTGTGAATTTTCCCCCTTTAATTTGATTCTAAGCATGTTTGATTTTAGCAATTTTGCCTATGTTGTTATGATTGAATGTAATTTAGGTGATGGATATATATTATGCATTAATTAAACCTATGATTATGATTATATACTTGGTGGTGAAGATACATGCTTAGTATTGATATTTTAGATACCCCATGATTTTTAATTGTTAAGAAAAGTGATGTTGAAATTGTGAAAATAAATGTTAGGGTTTCCCCTTAGTAATGTGATCGTGATGTAAATGGAATGTATGGGATTTATTGTAAATTTTTCTTGAAAAATTGCCATGATACTAGATATATGATGTGTATCTCTATGTGTGTTATGTGTAAATAATATATGTGCTTATGATTTGTTGATTGAATATGGAAAACATGCTTTTGTGATTATGTCCTTGTGTAATATGTATAATTGTAGAAATTTTGTTGACTTAAAGCATGTTATAAATTCATGAGAAAATTTTCTTTATTATGAAATGTTGTTAAGGTTTAATGATGTGAAAATTATAGTAAATTGTGAAGCATGAAGCATTCATGCATCCATTGGGAAAGAAAAAAAGGAAAAAATATATTTTTTAAAACCAATGAAATTGTTTTAGGGAAACGTTTTCGAAAGTGTTTGTGAAAACCGAATGCCTAGGAGGCGCCTAGTGGTCCGTGGTATTAATGTGATCTAGAGGGGGTTAGAAAGAAACTCTAGTATGGTTGAGCTACCCAGACAACGCCATAGAGGTGCCATGTGGTCGGGGAAAACTAGCCAACCCCTCCCTCGTGATGCCTTGGAGGTGCCTTGGGTCGGATTACACTAATGATTTGGAAGTTGAAACGGAAATGTTTCAGAAATGGGGAGCGACATGAGCATGGCATTGCACTTCATCAGCATACATGATGAATTTGTGACTTAGATGACATTTGTGTTTATATTGAATGTTGTGGTTATGGTTTACATCTCCAGTATATTATGATCCCGTTCTTTTGTCTTCAATTCTATAAGTAGATTCACGGGATTATAAGAGGTGTGTCTTACACACTTCCTACTGAGCTTAAGTTCACCCCATTATTAACATTTTTCAGAATACGGAAGGGAAGTGGCGGACGACGCTCCTCCACATGTTTTGACGGGTTAGTGGACTGTTTTGACATATTTTATGGCTATGATCCCATCATCATTATTATTATTATTATTCTTATTCTTATTATGTGTCAATATAGGAAAGGACGGTAGTGTCCTTAGTTGACCTCGGGTTCGGATAAGGACCCGGTTAACAATTCGGACACTCGGGTTCGGGTCGTTACACATGCCCTAAGGTTTGAATTTTTTTTTGTTTTTTTCAATATCAAATCAGTGCAAGGTCATGCTTCTCTGGAGACTACAAAAGGGCACAAAGTCAAATACCTTATCTTTAATCCCCATAGAAGTAGTATGCAGTGCTTGAACCAATATCTTATCTTTGAATTCGATCTCAAACAAAGGTGACATAAAACTTAGTTAACCAAAAGATTAGAATCAAAAGAGTTAAAGAAGAACACAAACCATTAACCATAAAAAATCCAGTCCCCAAAGTGATGAACTTCTCCATCAGACTAAGTTACTTACTCCATCACCGGTGCTACCCCTAGCCATAGAAGAAGTGTCACACATTCCTTCCAATCCACCATGTAAGCTGAAGGTCTGGTTCCCTGTGGAATGAACCACGAAATGTTTTACTAATTAGCAAATAAACTATGATGGTATATGCATTCAAAACACATTCGCATAGGATTCATTCAATGCAAAAACTATGGGCCATTTGGTTTATAACTCAAAAAATCAAGAGACCTTTTTATAACTACATTTTTAGAAAACTGAACCACATACAGTTTTTGTACAGTTTTCTGATTTTCCTGAAAACTGCCTGTTTCGAGTGACAAACCAAACATGCCCTGGCATTTTTCACCGGGGAAAGTTATATTCAGTTTTTTACTTGATTTTTTAATAGATAGTTCGTTCCACTGACTCCGTATACAAGTTGGATTAGTGAGGGATGGGACAGGGACACCAAACGGATTGTTTTTCCTCTACCGGACGACATTGTACTGGAACTAAGAAAGAGGTCACCTGAACAAAGGTTAGCCCAAAATACCTCAGAATAAAAAGCAGCATTGTCATATGGAATCCAATACAAGACTGTCGTTGTATGAAAACCCAGAACTACAAATATGTAAGTATATATACACAAACATGAATTTCTCAGCCTATAAACCAAAAATTATCAGTCTTTATACTAAATAAATTCCAAATGAATATATAAACCCAAAATTAATACAACTGGTTTAATCATTCGTGCAAATATGAGAGAGAAAAGAGAAGTGAGATCAGATGAGAGAGAGAGCACTAACCTGCTTCAAGTAGTGTTGTGTCGCCTAAAGTTGTGTGAATTCGAGATCAACAAAATTGAAGTTACTGAATGAGTTTTTACAGTGCGTTTGGAATCCCAGATTTTGATGGGAATTGAATTTCAAAATTAATTTGACTTGTTTGGAACGATTTTAAAATGGAATGGGGACAAATATCGTAACGGAAGAAGGAAAACCCGAGAAAATCGAAGGAATTTGGCGCGAACGAAACTCTATAATCTCGGCAAGAAGTCGACACAATCGCAAATAATGAAGAAGGAATTGTTTCGAAATCGATTATCGACAGCCAAATCAAAAGACTCACAACTAGATGATAAAAATTTGTATTTAGTTTGGGAGATTAGAAATAGAAATATAATGTTGCCAATAATTTCTATTTAATGTTTGGGAAGAAAATATATATATATAAAGGGTTAAGTGAAAAAAAAAAAACCCACTACTATAGATATAATGCATAAAAGTCCCTGTATAGTATAAAACCCTCATATACTTTCAATTTGATGCAATTAACCCCCTGTTCGCATAAAAAGACATTAATACCCTCTCGTCAATAAAATAAAATAATATTAAAAAAAATCAGTCAATGTAAAATTACTATTTTAGACATTCCCTCTGATTCACGGTGTCTCAAGCACATACTGAGGAAGAGAGAGAATGAAACAACATGTGCAGTTAGGGGCGGAGGGAGGGGTGGGCTAGCAGGGGCCTGGCCCCCCCAAAATTTTTTTATTTTATTTATTTATTAGTATACATATATAATATATATATATATATATTAGTACACTTGGCCCCCCCACCCCCAAAAACATTTTAGTATACTCCGCCCTTGCCTCTTGCCCTAACCCTCTGTTTTTCACCTTCTCCCAAATCTCCTCCACCTTCACACAAACTGACAAACTATTTGCATCACCATCGACTAATAGTTGTTGTCCTCACTCCTCAGAATCTTTATTTTATCTTTTTCGTACCCATCTTCTGTGAGTTCTCTCTCTGACTCTGTAATTGACCAGGTACTTACGCGTGTTTCAATTTTCCTTAATGTTTATCACTTATAAATTATCAGAACTCTTATTTGTTTATCACTCTATTTTTCTTCTAGAAAGACTATAGGTGAGCTTCTTCAGAATTTGGTGGCTGTTGATAATTGTTTAACTGAATCGAAACCCTAAAAATAGTCGAATTATTGTGTTTTTTTTTTTTGTAATTGATAAGTTGGATTCAAATTAAATTGTTGCATGATGAATGAAGTTGATTATTTGAAATTTTGCTTTATTTCTCCTTTTGACGGAATTCTTTTCCAATTTTTATTCTGAAATTCAACATCTGAGCTTTAAAAGTGAGCTATGTCTGCTCTGATTTTTATTTTTTGTTGTGGTTTTCCAATGAAAGTTTAGTGTATGGAAAGTGATTGTTGAGAAAATCATTTTACTTAATAAATGCAGCTGGCCTTTGTTCCACAATGTTGCACACTAACTTCAGAAGAATTTAGGAATAATTTGTTGACATTTTATATTATTCTAGAAATACATTTTTTTTTTTTGCTTTAGAAATAAAATTTGTTTTATTTTTACTTGAAATAACAAGAACATAAATTTTAAAAGTTAAAGTTTTGTGTTAGCAAAAAGTGCTTGACTGCTTGTTTTGTGGCTAATTTGTTCACTTTTATATCTCAATGGTACTTTATAGGGAAAAATAAACCTAACCTACCTTGACCTAACGATAGAGGCAACTAAGTGTTGACCAACCGCCAGACCTCTTCGACTTTTGAATGATGATATTTTCATTGGATAAGAATGATAATATTTCATTATCAAGGATAATGAAAGATGACGTGGTTCAACAGGGTAAGGATAACCTTAGCACAATTTGAGAAAGTCAAAAAAGTAAATCATATCCTCGAGAAATTTGGCAACAAATGGATCTCCTCTGATCTCGCACAAGCGGATGATAATGGGAGACCTCAACCATCGACATCGGCTGAACTAATTTGTTTCCAATCGACAGCTATAAATAGGGCACCAAGCTGTTAAAGAAGGTACGAGAAAAAACCCCTAAACAGAATATACATAATTATTATGTGATACGATTACAAGTACTAACTTGATCGTCGGAGAGTCCTTGGCTGGCACCCCACCAGTGCCATTCGAGGTGACGTCCCTTTGTTTTGCAGGTAAACGTCGTCGTTCCAAGTTGCGAGGATTTTCGCATCAACAGCTGGCACTGTCTGTGGGAACGATCAGTTCTCTAAAGAAATAATAATCCTGACGCGACTTGGCTCAGACGGCAAGACGAAAGTTTCCGATCATGAAAACCATCCCAAAGTCATCAATTCCATGTTCTTATATAAGGACGAGTCTCTACATCATGATTACCCGTCTATCATATTGGGGGCAAAACGGTGAGTTGTGTGATGTCACCCAGTAAACGATGACAATAATTAAAATTTGGCACGTCGACCCAGGCAGTCCAATGTGGTGTTTTCCATCTAGCGATGCTTGGTCCTCTCACTACTGAGGTTTGGTCATCTAAACTGAACTCTATCTCATATCTGGTAGAAGCCAACTACCAAGGCCTGATCGTTGAAGACTAAGACTTGGTCCTTCTGCGCTAACATAAATGAGTAGGTCTCCACCAATCAAGAAGATCACTACCAACAAGGGGGTCTCTACCTACTAGTAAAGCCTCTACCACTGAGGATGTCTCTAGCAACGAAGTCTCATTACTCCGTCCGTTCGTGTAATTAGGGTGGCGTTCTACACCCAAGAATGTATTGAGGCCTTCAGGTCCAAGGAGGTCCAATGTCCCTCAAGATCCCATGTCCAATAAGGTCTATATTCCCAAGGAGGTTCCTAAGTTAAGGGCGATCATTGAACCCAACGAGGTATTGGCCACCAGACCATCATCTGTCAGCCGTTGGGTACTACGCCCCCATCCACCAGGCATCAAACTAATCGCTGGACACCAAGCCTCCACTTACTGGACGACAATCGTCACCTCTTTTCCTTTGCAGGAATTGCCTATCTCGACTTCAGATTATGAAGAATTTTGGATTGATAATCCATTGCAGGTTAATTTTCATAATCATTTCTAACACAATCTAATATTTTTAGACAACTGTAAATTGTTGCAGCACCAGGCACCCCGTCCGTTGTATAAACGTCTATAGAATGGGTCAACACCCAAGATCCCACCATTGGGGGTAGAATAGTGGATCACAGGAGATTAATCGTCGTTCTACATATGATGACAAGGTTTAGAAGATTGACATACCAACCTTGGTACATCGAGCTAGTCAGGTTTCTAGTCTCTCTCCTTTAGCAACCCCTCAGGGGCACTAGTCGTCCAAGACCGGTGCCCGATCCTCCAAAACCATAACCTGGTTAGTCTCTACACACCGGGAAGGACTCAAAGTCCAACAAAGTTTCTACAATCAATGAGTCCACCGGGTCCAAGGTGGTCCAATGAGGTTTTTAACCATCAAGCACCAATGATGGTCTTTTCAACCTGGAACCAAGCTTAGTCACATGCACTTTAAATTTGACGGGTCACTACCACCATAGCCACAAGCAAGGCAAGCATAAAGGATAAGTCCACGAAAGTGAAAAACTTTGACTCCCTTATTAAAGGGCAAGCATATAAAGCTTGGGAAAAACATCCCCTTATTAAAGGAGTGAGCTGGGTGAAACTCGTAAAAAATAACCCTTTATTAAAAGGGCGGGCTGAGTGAAGCTCGAAATTATTATTTCCCTTATCAATAGGGCATACTGAGTGAAGCTTGAACATATTACAAACCCCTTACCAAAGGAGTAAGAACGACTATTTTCCTTATTAAAGGGTCGAAACATCAATGGTCAAATAGATCTAAATATGACTCTAGAAAGAGAAAATAGTTCCAACACCAAAAGTTAGATTATAAGGGTACAACCCTTGGTTATCATAAATCAAGGCTTGGTTATCCGAAACCAAGGCCTATCAACCAAGATTAAGAATTGATTGCCCAAAGTCTAAAAAGGCTCGGTCATCCAAGATCAGTGCCTGATCATCCCAAGTCTGGTCATTAGAGACCAAGACCAGAGCCTAACTAACAAAAGTATGGTCATCAGAGATTAGGACTTAACCTATAAAGGTCAGGTCAAAAAACGATCCTCCTTACAAATTCCTGAGAAGTTCATCTTTAAAGGGACGATGTTTATTGATTGGTAATTCATTGTTTTAAATGGAGGGTAGCTCCCTCACATGTTATACCTATGTGGTAATTAATGCTTTACAAAAAGCTAACAAAAAACTTAATTCCCTTACTAAAGGGACAAGCTGAGTGAAGCTCGTAAAACCTAATTCCCTTACTAAAGGGACGAGCTGAGTGAAGGTCGTAAAACATAATTCCTTTACTAAAGGGATAAGCTGAGCGAAGCTCGTAAAACCTACTTCCCTTACTAAAGGGATGAGCTGAGTGAAGCTCGTAAAATTTAATTCTCTTATTAAAGGTGTGACAAGCTGAGTAAAGCTCGTAAAATTTATTCCCTTACCAAAGTGATGGGCTGACTGAAGCCCATAAAGTTTACAACTAATATATTGGATTTTCAAAAGAAAATTCCAGTTTTACATCACTAAGATTCATTCATTATGGGTTTGAATCCATGCCCTTCCAAAACAAAACCTTGATTTGGTATCTATATTAATTCCACCATAAGGAAGAGTATCCAAGGGAACATTACCCAAGGGAAGATTACCCAAGGGAACGGTACTCAAGAGAAGATTACCCAAGGGACCATTACCCAAGGGAAGAGTGCCCAAGGGAACATTAATTACCCAAGCGAATATTACCTAGAGCAAAAAAATAAAAAATAAAAAAAATAAAAAATAATAATAATAATAATAAAACTGTTTAAGTGAATAGTACTCGTGGGCACTGTTCCCGAGAGAAAAGTGCCCAAGGCAAAAAAAAAAAAAAATTATTGTTGAAGTGAATAGTACCCGCGGGCACTTTTCCCGAGGGAACAGTGCGCAGGGCCCAAAAAAAAAAAAAATCACAATCCCAAAGCTAGAACAACAAGCTTAGGGATGGGGGGCAACTGGTAGGGAAAAATAAACTTAACCTACTTTGACCTAACGATAGAGGCAACTAAGTGTTGACTAGCCGCCAGACCTCTTCGACTTTCGAACGATGATATTTCCATTGGATAAGAATGATAATATTTCATTATCAAGGATAATGAAAGATGATGTGATTCAACAGAGTAAGGATAACCTTGGCACAATTTGAAGAAGTCAAAAGAGTATATCATATCCCCGACAAATCTGATAACAAACGAATTTCCTCTGTTCTCGCATAAGCGGATGATAAGGGAGAACTCAACCAT